GGTCGCGGACCCATCTCACGAGCGACCGATCGCGCGACTGGTCGCCATTCGCTAGCGAGCGGTCGTGGACTATGAAAGATGACTTTCACGGAAGCTCTGAGCGAGAGGAACGCTATGCCTCGTGTCGCTCAAGCGAGGCCCGTCCACTGGACCACTTTGGTTCGCGATAGGGGCGAATGAAGACGTTATTGGCATCGGCTCGAGAAAGTAGACGTTCAACGGGATAACAGGTGATGCGGGTGATACAGGTGATTGATTTGCATAGATCAGTTGCTCCTCAACTGAACATACTTCACTCTGAGACTGGAGAAGCTCGTAGTCTTTCGACTTGCTCTTCCTCTTGAACGAATGTGCCTGAATTTGGAATAGTTCGAAAATCGAAGAGCCGTTTTTGGTTTATGTATAGCAAGACTTACCTTGAAATTGCTTATTATCAACATGACTAGCAAAAACAGCCAAAGAATGGAGCCGTATGTGTAAATCTGCAATAACTACCGAAGTTCAAAATTATGACTCTTTCAATAGGTAGAAAGCCAAAACATTTGAAGCGTTATAATCTCAAATAAGCAATTATTCCGTTGTCAGTTGAGCCATTTGCTTCATTTTCTTTTTGACTATTTCCATACCCAGTTTTAACGACATTCTATCATATTGAGTAACCTACTTGTTATCCAACCACCTGGAGCAAGATGGGAGAGGAGCGCGATTGAGGGAAAGGGAGGGATTTGCTTATAATATTATGAGATGGAATGGTTGTAAAGAGGTGGTAACATAGCTCGAAGGGCGAATATCCCAGATGGAAAGTTATCCTCTAAAATTCTTACCCCTATCGCGATGCTCATCGAGAACGTATCGGATCGGTACGACAGGCCATCTTTTGCCAAGCCATCGAGATTGTCCATTCTAAAAAATGAAACTCACCATTGCTAAAAAGCTGGAATAATGATTCATTATCATCGTGTGAATCGTTTACAACCAACAACACAAGAAGGGTTAGGGCTGACACAAGTGTATCTGATGAAGGCTCGGCATTCCTTTTCCAGCTCTCTCCTCTAACGCTGCAGATCGCTCAAAGGGAAAGAAAGGTCTAGTACAAAGTTCGAATCATCGAAGTCTTGCCACCCTTCAGGATCCTTCTTCACTTAATCATGAACATTCAGAAAGCCAGAGACCAAGAATGATAACAAAACAACGAGGGAGGGATGAGGAGGGGGGGGGGGGGGGGGGGGGGGGGGGGGGGTGTAGGAGAGTTGGTGGGAAATACGCAAGTAGGGCCCCACTCTTTGCAGTTTCCTTCACGTTACTTATGAATTGTGACGCCAGTGTCATGCCGATGCCTCACTGTGTCATTTCTCAAGGAAACTACTGTCACAGCCATTACCTGCCTCTCTAGCCAGTCAGCACCCTTCCTACGCCCTGTGCCCCACTCATGCGGGCAACCCATTTGATGTCCCATTCTTCACGACCATCTAAGCCACATACTCAGTGTAATACCACAACTGACGGATGCCAAGTAAGCATGAAGTAAACGTGATATGAATGATGTCACGTCGAAGAACAACTTTTCAACTTGTTTCTTTTCTCTTGTTTACCCTTGCCTTCCGCCTTGTTGCTTTTGTATTTGAGCTTTTCAAACAAATATATTTATCTATACATCGAATCATCAATGAAATATGTACAGCACAATGAGCCTTTCCACTAGAATTACATCACAAGGAGGAATGATAAGCATGGCGTAATGCCCGTAGAACGAGATATGAACAAGCATCAAAGCAGGATAGCTTTCGTGACCGCATTTGACCGTCTTTTTTCCAAAGCCGATTTCAGCGCCTGATACTTCACAATATCCAACTCTGTGAGAAGATTTACAAGTATCCGTTCATCGTCAAAAGAAAGATTCTCGTGTTCCAAATGCATTGGTGACAAAAAGCGAGACATATATACCTGCAAAAAGTACAAAACTACGTGAAACTATTCTAAAATTTGGTGCATAACTAGAAAACTCACAAAAAAACTCACCAATGACGATAAGTTGGTGAGCGTGGCAGCCACAAAAGCAATCAGAGTTGCATCAGAAGGGAATCGTCTTTTATTTTTCAGATGAGAAAGTAATACACCACGATAAGGAACCGTGCGTAACACGCTTGCATTGGTGTCGAGAATTGCGGTATCACGTAGGTTCAATGCAGCTGATTCTCCTCGTTCGTAACAGACACCAACCACCCCCTTGGGCCGGCTGAAACAGTAGGTAGACAGAAATCGGAGAAATCTTTCTTATCGAAACAAACTCGAACATCTATCTTGTTATAGAGTTAATTATAAAATCCTCAAATAAAACTGAATAGTTCCAAATGCCTGGTTTTTTCATAAAGTTCCGGCATTCGAAAAATACTCGGAAACTTCCCCTCGCCCAATTTGCACTGTCTTACTGAGTGTATTGCCAAACAAAAAATAGGAAACTAACACTTCTTGGTTCTCCGTCCATAGAACCACCTTATGATTAGGATGGGCTTTTGGCTTCAACGAATTGATTTTGTCCACAAGATCGATAACGGTGTGCTTTCTCTGGACAGAGCCACAGACCACCATGTCGTCGCCAGCAAGCACAGGGAACAAAAGCTTAAATCCGCTTCAGGTCATCGAAACTCCTATCAGAAATCAATAAATCCCTGTTTACATTGTCAAGATGATGAGCGACTGTTCGCATTGTTTCTTCATTCCCGATAGCTGCCTGATCATGGCTAAAAACTAATGGAAAGAGTGGCTATTGATTGCTATGGCTTCAATTTTCAGATGAGAGGTACCTCTTCGAGTTGTTGGGCTTCATTGGAGAAACCAGTTTAGGGAAACGAAGTATCGGTGTGTTTGCGCAATACAGTACACCTTCTCGAACATGGTTTTCTGAGCATTCCACAAGAAAAGGATGCAAATTGGCCAGAAAGGCGTCGTAAACCTAGAAACATCTACATTCACAGTAGTACCAAGTTTGTCTCCATAGCAGATAGTAAATTCTAGACAAAAAATGCAAAAATACTAAACAGTAAAACGCAATACATAAAATAAGAGGCTTTAGTTCAGCATGACTTCCGAGGCGATTGATTGAACTTCTTCTCACGAAAGCGCTCCAGCTGTAGATTGTCATACCATGAGAGATTCATACTTACGCAAGGTGTTAATTCCGAAACTGGACACAGGGCTGAGGTCTGCATGAAGGACATAAACATCTCCTCAGCCGCAGCGCGATCTTCACCGGTGTGGCCACTACAGTCCATATCTAGAAAAAGTTCACTATGAGGTCCTTATGTGAGCAGATAACTGAATTTTTAACTAATTTCACGAATTGAGACAAGGGACCCCCATTAGGTGGAATCTTCATTGGCCACTGTATAGAACCGACTTTGGACCAGATCAGAGCCTTGAACGTGATAATACGGACTGAGATGAGAAGAAGACCACTTATTTACAACCTATGGAGACCAGTACACTCAGTATTCATGGCAAACTGAAATAAAGTACTGCAAGGTGGTACAGTTATTCTTCAACACCCAATGGAGTGAGTATAACCGCCTCTGGATGGAAACAGGTAAATTATTCGAGCAGAGTACCTTGATTGGATTGAAAACGTTCAATATTCGATGTTTAAAACATTAGTATTCATACATATGCAAACTAACAAGTACGCGATTCCGACAGCACTTCATACATGGCCTGCATTCTCGGTCGGAGTTTTCGAGCCTGAATAGAAATTATTCATCTCTGTATACTATGGAGTGAAACACCCTGAACGACTGTTCAAAAGACCCTTAGAATAGATTCCCTAAAGTTCGCAGTTTCCTACGATTATCTCGCGCTTTCTTCGGTCGTCTAAACCCGCGGCAAGAGCTCCCCTCGATAAAACTCTCAAGTGTATCCGCATGATCATCGATCAATAGCAAGGGCTTGCAAACTCCTTAAGGGCATAGCAGTCCGCGACTTGAGAGAGATCGTATCCAAAATCGTACCTGTTCAGCGACATTTCCTAATTTACGACTTGTAGTCGGTAGCTTCAGCAAATCGACATCTAACGTGTAATAGGTCTGTACGGTGTCCGACTCTGAAAATGAAGGGCATTTCTACGAGGAAAAAAGGGACGCGATAGCTTGTTTCTCAAAATCCGGAGTTAGTGAACTTTTCTCCAGCTAAAGCATCACCGTCTCAAAAAAANAAAAAAAACAAACAGAAAGGGGTTTTGAATAAACGCTATGGACATACCAACTGCATCAGAGATCTTGATGATATCACTGAGTTGTCTCATGAAATATCGACGATTACATTTGATCAAAGGCGACACCAGGCTACGTACTCCGTTTGAAAAATGCGACAATCGACTTGAAGTGGGACGTTCTGAGCTCAGAACAGCAACGCACAATGGACGCTGAAAATAACAATGTAAAATGATTGAGTTGGTTATACAAATGTAGACCGATCAGCCAGACTCGAGGGGAATGTATCCGTGAGTATGATTACCAATATTCGAATGATTCTTCCCTTGGTCGGTATGAAAGGTGGTAGCCCTAACGAAATTGAGGCAGAATGAAGATTCAGCGAGGGGCTCACAAATCTAGGCACCGCTGTAGCAGCACAGGTCCGCATTTCTAACACATTTACTAATAACCGACCAAATTTCAGGTCACTGGAGCCAATATCATAGAACACTAAAGTGAATACCCAAAATACGACTAACGACTTCCAGCCCACTACCCTTTAACATGCAGGGTTGCATCATTCATTAAACCTGTTCCTCATTAGGCACAATTTCCACATTTCGCACTCTATTAAGCATGATTAATTTGCAAACGTTTCCTTCTTCCAGTTGGACCGCTCAGCGATGGAGGTTTTAAAGAAAAAAAGTAACGCACCTGAAAGGCCCTCGCTCTTATGTCGTATATAGTTGTATAGTAAGACATGGCATAAATTCCCGTTTGCTGATTGTATATAACTAAGAGTGTCCCGCTCGCTGCTTCAGAGCTCATCAGCCATACCGATAAATTGTCGATATCAACAGAAGTAGGGATTTCTTCTGAAACGAACTTGATGACAATACAGTCAGAATTACTTCCCCGCTGTTGCTGTCGCCTTACGAATTAAACGTTCATCTCAGTGGGCGACGGTTTTTCCTTTCCAATCACCTTCTCGTTAAGCGATGAAGCTAATTGGGTCCAGCTTCTGCAGACATCTTTATCTGCTTTATTTGCATGCACTTGCATAAACTACTGGCGACAATAAAAGTTAATTGAATTCCCCAAATCACTAGCAATAGAATTTAATTGGATTCTCTAGATCATAGCAGAATAGGGCTCTAGTGTGAATAGGAGATAATTAGCAAGAGCTAGATATTACCTGGATCAAGGCCTTCAACTTAAAAGAAAAACTATCCTTACTAATTTAATAATTTACTGAACTGTACGATCAGAGCAGTGATTTCAGATCTATCTGCAACTATCTCTTCTTTTTCAACGTCAACTTACTTGTCTTCAGGCCGACCGTAGCAAGTGGGCGAGGTCCTTGTACCTGACAAAACTCGACCACGACTACAACCGGATCGATATTACATCCTAATCGATTGAATGGATCAATCGCTCCTTTATTCCGCAGCAGCAAATCCTCTGCGCGAATGGTTTGGGCCATATTACCTGGAAAAAATTAAGGTGAAATGACCAGCTCTTTAGAAGACCAGCACATGAATAAATAAGGATATCAATGGGTAGACGACGGTAGAACGTAGGGATTAAAAAAGTCAGCTCTCTACTTCGATGAATGAATCCGACCACTCCATCTAGTTGGAAGGCCCCAGTCAACGGAATGTTGTGTTCATGAAGTCTCGAAGAAACCACTGTGAAACCTGCCTTTCTGTCGGCTTCGATCTTGTCGAAGTTTTAGATGGATACAAACCTAAACATATGAGCTCCAAATCGCAAACTCCCCTCAAGAGATGGAGTTGGGATAAAAAAACACTTTGCGAGGTACACATGAAAATCCGACATATCCCTAGCATTCAAATGTCAAAAAGAATCAAAGTAGTAAAATATGATGAGAACGATATCCATTCTGGAAAAAACTCAACGAACTCATTTTGATGGAAGACTTTTATGCAGGACAAAAGATTGCAATCATTCAGAAATGACTTTTTCCAGTTACAATAATGAATCGAAATAATAGATACATAAGAGCTTCTAAAACATGTACAATTCCTTCCAGCTCACTCAAATAATCATAGAGCTATCAAGTCGCCAGCCTAGATATGTATAACACATTTTTACACAATGATATAAACTTCACACAATATGTTAAATGACTGAAAAAAGAGAAGGAGAAAGCAATAGAAAAAAGAAGATAAAGAGAAGGTTTGAGAATCTTTCCGTGACATTGAATCCACGGACCTAAAATAGCAAGTGAACTATCGGTTAGTGATCTCTTTGGCGGAGGGACATTTTGCGAGATTTTGCGGGTTCATCAATCTGATCTTCATCGCTTTCATCAGGTTTCTTCGAATGACGTTTTGTTTTGTCTTCCATTCGAAAACGTCGATTAGTTGGAGCTGAATCAGACGGCTTTGCACGTTCTTTAGCGGCTCTTTCATGAAACCTTCCCCTTGCAACAGTTCCCGTCTGTGGAGAATCTTCTTCACCACTAGATTGACTTGACGAACGTAGAGAGCGGGTAGTCCTCCTTTCGTCATCCTTGCCAGCGGGTGCTCTCTTTACGCTTGCTTTCAGGGAGGAAGTTTCATCCTTTTTGATTCTTTCTGGAACTATTCGATTTCCGAAAGATATCTTCTTCCCTCCCCTTCTAGAACTTTCCAAATCCTTGCTCAGAACGTTCGCATCACGCAGCTGCGCATGTTCTTCAAATTTCGATCTTTGTTTACGAGACCTTGGCTCCTTACCCTGAATGGGCTCTACGTCATCGCGTGGTGTATCCTGCTCAGAGCTATCCTGTTCTCGATTCTTAGAAGCTCTGTCGGTAGTATCGCTTGAAGGCAACCTTTGTGGCGAACTGTTTCGTCTTGAATGACGCATGTGTGAGTCATCCTGTGTTTCTGAAGAAGAAAGACGAGTGGGTGAACTCAATTTACTTGGACGGCCACGCCTCTTGGAAGACTTGTCAAGACTTCGCTCTGGGGAAGAAGTGGGAGATTCCGTATTCTTAGCCGGACCTAATTTTTTACCAGATCTGAGTGGACGCGTTGAATCTAACGTATGACGTTCAGATTCTTCTAATTTTCTGGGCTTTCTTCCTCGCGGTTTCCGTGTCTGTGAATCCTCTTGAGTTTCCGACGAAGATAACTGGCTCGGCTGGGTTAATACCCTCTGACTGCTCAGAGTTTCACTGATGTTTTCGGCAGTCCGCTCTGGTGATGAAGCAGAAGATTCTGGGGAGCGCATGGGATCCACTTCCGACGGCACAACAATTTTATCAGATTTTAGGGGGAGTGCAGAAACCAGTTCCTCAGTTTCTATAGGCGCAGCCACCTTCTTAGGCGGTCTTCCTCGTCGGGGATGATTTGTTCGAGTTCGAGGCTCCGCCACTGTTGTAGGCGTATCATGTTGTGTCTCCTGAACTTCTGGAAGCTTTTCAGCAACGTGCAGTGAGAACGGTGCAGTAGCTTGGGATGAATGAATGGGACCAGTTTCTGAATGCGGAAAACCTTCAGCAGACTTGAGCGATCGAGGAGTGTCGAGCTGTTCTGATGCCACAGATTCTATCGCCTTCTTCGGCTTTCTCCCTCGTACGTGCTGTTTCTGCGAGCTTTCGTGTGTTCCTGAAGAAGATACCTGAGAAGCCAGCTCAACATTCTGAGTTGTTTGAGAACTTTCAGCTCGTTCGTCGGCTACACCGGCAGGTAATGGAACTGACTTATCTTTTCCAGCAGGCCTATTTTGAGAACTTTCCGGTGATAAAAAGTCGTCTCTTTTTTGTTGAGTTGTTTCAATACAGAGGTCGTTTTTGTTAGCTTTTTTAGAAGGAAGGGTGCGAGCGCGTCGTTGGGTTTTTGAACGTGATACTTTCTCATGGGAGCTTTCAGGTATATCCGCTGACATGGGAATACTGTCCAAACTACCATGGTGCGATCGATTAGTCTTCTGCTGGTTCCGTTCACTAAGAGAAAGATCTACTTCGTCTGGCACAACTTCATACGAAGACAATCTCCATGCTTCGATGATAGCCTGCGCTTTCTGTATAGCGTCCTTGTCAAGTGAAGATACAGCGGCACCAGCAGACCTTCCCCGATGGGACTTACGGCCGCGTGACTTTGACATCGAAGATTCCATCGATTTGATTAACTTCCTCGATTCACTTGCAAGCTGGGACTCCTGCATAGTCATCGGCTCTTCTTCATCCTCCATTTCTTCGTCTGAAGAAATCTCTATTGTGACAATTTTTCTGGAGTTCGAGGGCCTAGTATGCAGATTTCTATCTCTTGCAGACATTGACGACGGTAATGAAAAATGAGTCCGCCTTCTGCCAATCAGTGAAGGAGAAAAAGGACGACGCTTAACCACCGACGTTGCCTCTATGTCATCCGATATGCTTCCACCCGAAGAGAGATCCAAAACACTGGAGGGGTGTGCACTCAAATCTAACTTAGCAGATTTCCGAGCTGCTATTTTTGTAATTGATACAGCATCTGAGCTTGATTCAAACATGTCGACCCTCTTGCGCTTTGCGCGTTTGTCTTTCAATGGACCAATTTCCTTCGATGAATGTGGTCCCATATCCTCGACGGGAACAATATCTGGTTCCCAAAACGTAACTCTTGAGGAAGTACCTGGCAATGAAGATCTCCCTGAAGGAGCATGGATAGGTCCGGAGAATACAGAATAGTTGTTAACAGCGTTAATGAAAATGTTCGCATAGGCCGCGACACAGGTAACATTACAAAAGCTTTCGACGACGGTGGCTTCTTCGACGTGTTCACGTTCCGGCACGAAAGAAACAGGTATTTCTTCTGGCCTTGCTTGGCCGTTAACTACTTGGGTTTTAGAGAGAGATGATTTCAGCTTTTCGTAAAAGTTGGAATGACATTTCATTCGAAGTAGATTGGGAGTCTCAGCACCGAGGAAGTGTCCGTTATCCTGGAATTAGACATTAATCAAATGAGAAGCATTACGCCGTTGATGGCAACTGAATCAAATAAAAATCTCAAGAAAAGCTCAGAATAGACTTACCGAAAACGACTCATAGAGGTCTGCAGTAGTAATATGGTGAATGGAGTGTTTACGCTCGATGCTGAAGAATCAAATAACCGATTACTGTATCAGAAATCTCAAAACCGAAATCAATACATCTCAATTGAGCATACCTATTGTCATAAACAGGTTGGAAGCCACTTCGAAATCCGATTCCATCGAGAATTGGTTTCTTTCGCACATGTACTGCAGCATCGATTCTATCAGCTAACATTGTCTGCAAAAAAAAGATTGAGGTTGTGAAAGAAATTATATTGTGAAAAGGTAGGCCATATATATTAAATAGGGTCAAAGACTGTTACCAAAGTGGGTTCACCTTTACAGCATCACCGAGAAGTTGACCAGCAGAGGGATCAGGAGCTGCCCATCCATTCTCAAGGCTACGCAGAATGAGCAGTGCGTTAATAGTCGAGATATGCGGGACATAACCCTTCTAAAAAGATTGAAAGCATAGTCTTCAACCACTAAAACGAACAGAGAATGAACGGAAATTAGAGCTTCGCATAATAAGCCATGTTTTGAGGGTTGTATAGACGAAACCTAAGAATTCCAGGCCAAGTCCAAAAGAAAACTCTTGACTGCTTGACTGCCCGAGAATTAAGATCTTCATCTTTGGAAACAATCTTTTGAAAATCAAAAAAGTAGGCGGAGGAAGAGAAGAAGCGCACATATGAAACGTATGAAGCAGTAGAAGAAGAGGTATAAATGAAACAACCACAGTTCTAGAACCTAGGGATGTGACAGTTCTAGAACACGTGAACATATTACAAGGGACTATACATAAGAAACCGTCGACATAAAGGTAGTAATAAGAAACGAACCCTTGAATCTCTACTTTTCCTTCCGTTGAAGATTTCCTCCATCGACCTTGAGACCGCGCTCTTGAAAATATAATAATTTCTATTGGCTTAGCCATTTTTTTCCACGAACTATTAGATGATGAGAAAACAGGGAACGACTTACCAGCTGACACGATTCTGACAACACGCCTACGAATTCATCATGAATGGTTAACAATTCGCTTGATAACAGCTTCTCAACTGCTTTTGAAAGTTCGTAAGTGCTCAACGACTGCTTCGAAAATAGCTTCAATAGGGCGAGATACCTGAAAATTAATTTCACAGGGCTGAAGTCGAAATACACAGCTCATCCTATTGGAGGCACAGGCAAGAGCATTAACTCAGACGAAACTTCCACCATTTAAATTTGAAGCATTAATCCTATCTTAAATATCTGTATCTCAAGTAGACTCTGAAATGATGATACCCACCGATTGAGTTGAGAACCAAGTCCTTGCCGTAGTTTTGCAAACAGCTCGGCTAGATTACCATAGAATTCTGCAGGTTTGTAAATAGTAGGATCCCACCGCGACTCTCTATTCCGATTGATAACAGTGCTTTCAGTTCCGGGGGAATTTCGACCGTCATGAAGCCGCGACCTTCGCATGAGTTTAAAACCCTGAAATCAAATTGGCTGATCGTATTTACATAGGAACGGAATCGCAGTTCAATGACGAATCGATAAATCTTGACAAGAGATAGTCGGCGAAAAATACTACTACTACTTGAAGAACTTTTATCCATCCTATTTAGGTCGAGTATTCTTCATACGGTCACTTTCGTTGGCTAAAACGGCTGGAAACCGCTTCCTTATTAAACCCTGTTACAGTACCCAGAGTGAAAGGAGCAATACAGAATATTGATATGAGTTCTATCTAGAGGCAGTAAATGAATCTGAAAAAAAGATTCCTTAAATGATGAAGCTAGAATTGGCCAAACCACTGGAACAAGAAACTACATAGTTGCTTAAGCAAGTCAAGAATGACCCCAAAAGAGGCCTTAACCATACAGTCGTACTTCAAATGTGTTCATTTATCAAATGGTCCTAAAATAGGCATAGAAATGCAAGTAGAAGAGATCGAAGGTTCCAACGTGGGGCTGAACGAGCTACATACCGAAAATCATTACGATTTACATTGTTTTCGGCTATTTGTCTGGATTTTTGATTATATCATGACAAAATTGAAGAAAATACTTCTCAGATACATATCGACAAACCGATAAACCAATAATGTTAAGTGAATCAAAGTTTTTAGAATAATAATAAAATTGAAGCAAAATAGAATTAAAACAAGAACGCTCAGTGCTTATTCGTGAAGTAGCATTTAAACAGAACGAGGAAAGCAACAAATGATAAGAACAGTCATTTCTCTGAAAAAAAGGTGCCTTGTGGGAAACGAGTGTCGAGGTTAAAAAAGCCTCGCGCTACCAGAGTTTCGGAAGCAGCAGTTGATGTGGCCCATCGCCAATAACCTGCCCGTTCGTCAATCGTCATGGCCGACATCGCGCGGCTGCTGAAGTCACCTCCATCTGCATCCTTGCTTTCTACCTTTTTGCTATTTAGTTTTCTTCGAGGACCATGAAATTACGATCTCATAAAAACCTAAAGTTCGCTTCAGGAAAACATCCCAGAAGTTTTCTTTCTTTCTACAAACTGCCGGTGTTTCGTCCACAGATACGAGAAGGCACGTGCCTGCCCCACAACGGTTCTACTTTGCTGTTTTCCCTTGAAAAACTGGGTAGCACATGTCTTGGGGGAGCTGATTGCAATTTTTTTTGGTCATTTCCGAGGGGTTCTCATCTCGGATTAATTAAAAGCAGCAATATACCTCGTGAAAGCAGCTGGATTTCTCATGTCTAGATGCTTCTTAAAGTTTTTTCGACCAGATGTTGAACATACCCCACCAGCTATGTATATACAGTTTTGGGTTCTTTTTGCAGAGGGAATGGGGTTTATGCAGCTATTGATTTGTTAGGGTGCAATCTATGTTCTGTTCGTTTTGGTTCTAAGAGATAGTGGCTCATTAACGTCAAAATGCTTCATTTTCTCATCTAAATCTGGCCAACAAGACTTATCTTAGATATTCAATGCAAACTATGAATATCGCTCGTTAGAATACAGCAATAATAAAGAGTCAGCTATAAAATGGCTCTTATATTCTTGTCATGCGGTCAGAAGCTCGTGTATCATATTTAAAAAGTAGATAGTTCTGTACGGCACTTATTTCTTGTTCGAACAGCATTTTGTTTATCCTCCCATCCTCCCAATGGGAAGCTATTACACAGATCAACACAATATTTGATTGATTAAGAAGCTGCAATTCGTAAGAATCGGTCAGTGTTCATAGAGTACTTCCTCAACTTCTTGCTGATTAGAGGTATAGTTACAAGAGAAGAGCTACTGGAAGATAACAGTGATAAACTTTGTTTATTTTAGTGTTCTTTGCTAGGCCCCAGGCTCGTATTTGGAGCTTCCAGCTCGCCTGAATGAAAAATCACAACTATTTGAGCGAGACACTGCTTGTTTTGGTCTACCGACAGACATTAAATCCAGTTTTGATCAGTTTTGTTTTGCTAGCTGTTGTTTTCCACCGCAGCTTACAATGTTTATTTATCACGGTGATGCAGAAATACGTGCAAAATGTATACAGCAGTAAAAATTCAAACGTTATTCAACGCTTCTCACTAGTGTTTCCACTGGTACTACTACTACTGCTGGAGTAACGCTCGTCAGTTACGCATAATCACGGACCATGTTCTGTTTCTCATCCTTAATAGTTCTAGTAGTTTTCCTACGGAGGACGTTACGACTGGACTTTAGACACGGGCCGAATTTTCGCTCCCGTAGAACGCATCGTTTCGTCCGGGTTTTAAATCCGGACTTGAGTCATTTGCGTACCGATTTATACAGATAGCAATCGACCCACAGTTGCCCTTTTCTTCCCACATCCTTTTTTCTAATTTCACTGATATATTCAGTTTTATTCATTCATGCTTCTTGAAAGGCAAGGATTGGTTGGCTGGACTTTTAGCTAATTGATGGTCGGCCAGTGTGACAGTTTTGTCCTTGTTCATGACAGTCCTTGTTTGCTGACTCTACGAGCGACCAGTAGCAAAATGGCATAAGGGTTCATCCCGTTCTTCCTCTCGCCTCTTCATTGTAACCATTGGTTCATTCTCTTTGATTCACCGCTTCAAGATGTTCACTTTTGTTGCGCGCATGCCGTCGTCATCATTGTGGAACCAGAACGGTGCGCAACCTTCGGAACCAGTTTCTCAATCGATTGACATTCTGGAAACCGATCATGCTGTCTGGAGTGATCGCCTCATTTTCCCCTTCCCCACCTGATGTTCTTCAATTACTGACTTATTTCTACTGAATTCTAGATTTTTTTAGGTCTAAGTTTTCTATTGTAATGTGAACCCCAACACGCGTTGATATCGTTCCATTTGCTGTCACTATGCATCTCCAACGGTTTGTGTCAGCTGACTGTAAACAAGTACGTTAGCCTTCCAACTGTTCGCTTTGCGTGGTTCTGCCTATCGCTGGCTTGTGATCAGTAGCCTTGACCTTCCTTCGTTTTTTCTTCACCATTGATTCCGAGGAGCCTTTCATAGGTTTCGAAATCTTATGCCACGATTACGTTTGACACTTCACAGATAGGTTTTCCTCGATGTTTACGTGTTTATTTGTCGCTTGTAATTGAAAAAGAAACACCTGAAGAATTCTCGATCTTCATTATACCGCTTTGTTGAATTTCTCTTTGCATCATTGGGTGGAAGGTCCTAACTTTCATCAATAGCAAAATTTTGCTATGTAATTTCACGAGTTATAATATTTTGTTGAGCATACTACTCGGGAATTTAGCCCGTCTTAAGGGAAAATGCTGATTTTTCTAGATTTAAACCTAATTTATCCCTTTTTTTGATATATGCGCCCCTCATTTGTTTACTTCATGCATATTACACTCTCCTCTATAGTTTCAAACTTATTGTCTTCATTTTAGAGGTAGGGCGCTTCAGTGTATCGATCTTATGCATGTAGGGAACGTAGACAGCATACGATGCGTAGCGCAAAATCTCGTTTATCTGGATATGCAGTTCCATCCACGATGGCCGGTTGCGCTGCGTTGCTGCGGAAATAGCTTGTGACGCTTGGAAACTTTTATTCTTGCAAAACTTTTCTTAACGATTTCCTCCGAAAAGTGACAACATGTCACCCACTCTGTCGTCTCTGCGCTTTGGCTTAGTCCTATCCTCCCTGTCCATCGATCTGTAGCAAATATTCCCTGTGATCCAAGTTTTCCCTTTTGTTAAGGTCGTGGCTAAATTACCCCAACCCTCAAGTCGTTCGTGTAGCGCAGGGGAGCCGTGACCTCAAAACATCCACGGTTCAATGTCACGCCGAGTTGATAATCGATTCTCGTTGCATTTTCTTCTATTCCATTTGCAAATCTTTGTATTTCAATATTCTGCTTAATTCTTATCTTTGAATAGTTCTTTTTTCCTGTGTCTGTGGAACTTTTTAGTTTGTGTCAAGGAGGGATCCAAATAGCTATGGGATTCAAGTTTACGGTTGACTAGTTAGAACTACTCTATAAGGCAAATGTTTTGAATACATATATTGTCTCTTCTTAAGACTTCAAGTAGGGGCATAGGTGTGTTTAATGGGCTAAACTTGTTATGATGGGCTGAGTCTAACTTCTATTAAGAAGCGGATTGCATACCAGTTACGCCGTGCAGTTTCTCATTGTTGATGTTTCTGGCAAAGAAATCAGCATCTGCTGCTTCGCTTGGTCGGTGAATGCAGCATCTGCCCCATTTCGAATAGCCGAGAGAGCTGAGTTTATTGCATTGTAGAATATCTCTCTCTTTTCCAATGACCTCAATGTTGAACTACCCCTTGATTCATTGCCGAAAGCCATTCATAATACTTTTTCACATATTATGTGAAGCTCCCATAACTTTTCTCCCGATAGTTGGGTGAAAAGCTTAGTTAGTATTCCTAACTAGTGAAATTAGGATTGTTTACATGATTTCTGTCTTGTTCTACGTATTTATCCTTGCTGAAGATGCTTATTGATCTCTTCTAAGTCTCTTGTATTATGATACCCGTTGACATCGATTTACTACCCAGACATTGGAAAGAGCCAACGATTCTGGCTCTAGACTTTTCTGTACAGCTTATCACTTTCACCATAGATTTCGGTTTTAATCACGGTATCCCTTTCAGTTCCACTTTCTCTATTTTCGTTGTTTTTATCGTCAAAAGAACGGTGTCATTTCATATCATGTGCAAGGTTATTGATGAACTTGCTATTGATGGAATATTGCCAACTAGATCTTTGATGCGAAAAGATTACTGAACGATTTCAGTTTTCATCGCAGTTTTAGAACATTAGGCGCACACCCTCTTTCACGTCAACACGAACTTGCTTCGCTTTTATACAATCGGCCGCAAATGTTAATGCAGAGTGGGGAGAGTTCCATTTGGGGCATGTTGGTGGTGGATTCTGACGTTTTTAGGAGTGATCAGGCTGTACGGACAAGGAGATGACGTTTTTTTGTTAAACTCTAGCTGAACTTTTTTGCTGTCATTGTTAAGTTTTCTTTGCCGTCACGCTGCTTTGCACTCTAATCCCATTACGTCTCTCTGGAACTTCCAGCCATTTTTGAGCTGGATCGAATTTTCAAACTTGGAACAGAAAAGTTTCTTCATGATATTCGTTCATATTCGATGCCCTTTTTTTTGAAGTCACTTTTCCTGCTTGTCTTTATTGCAATGACTGCCAGTACCTTCAGTTTAGTAAGTCAAGGGTGAATTGTCAAATCAATTCACGGCTATGTAGATGCTATCGTTGAAGATGAAAATGCTGTAACGTGTGCTCATATCTGATTAATACAATTTTAGATAGATGCTCTCCCTGTAGTGTTCGAAGCCAAGCTGCGCGATGCCGAACATTAAATTCATAACCACTATGTACTTAATTTTCCTGTCTTTCATTGCTGTGTTTGCCACTTTGGAGCATCAGGCAAGCATCATTTTCTTTTCTTTTTTTTCCGAATTTTTTTATATTGATGTTTTTTATATCTTCTTTTGGGATAATATTTTTTTTATGTTAGCACTCACATATTTTTACGGAGTAGATTACTGCTTCCGATAACGCGGTCCTTTAAATCTGAATCTGCCTTACCAGCAAGGTGGCCACATTTAAAGTCAAAATAAGGTTAAGTACTTTTGAAGAGCACCAAAAACTTGACAGAACGTCCAATGGACTGCGTGTGGATACTCTCAAGAAGTTGGGGCTTTTTAACGTAAGAAATTGCGCCACAGAACTGAGAAATATGCTATATAAGATACCCCTCTGCCAGGTGTTCTATGATGCAAAGATCTAATGTGAATTGTCCCTGCGTCTCTTGATAATACTGATGAATCAGGCTTTTTTCTTATTTGTCTCTAAATTTTTCCTAAGCTGTTCCTTTACATTTTATCAAGACCTGGCCACGTCAGCGAACATCCTAAAAGATCGCTGATGTAGATTGTGCGCATACACGCATAGACAGTGTTCATTTTCTCATACGGGCCGACGAAAATCGAACTTGTCTTACTATGCTTGAGGTTCTGCATGGCACTATGTGTTGTAGTGTGAACGGGCTGGCGGGTTGTCACCGGATCTTTGAATGTGTGACAGTAGGATACTATACAAATCGGCTAAATCTATTTCCTCACTTGACTCATTTCTTTTTTGCAGTCTGTAATTGTGTTCAGTAGATATGCAAAATTGAAATTAATCTTTTAACCTTTGCATAATTTTTTCTGCTCTCTGATTAGATGCTTTTCAGTGGGTGACATGGGAAAGCGGTGCTGGCGAAATTCAACCGTCATTGGACGAGTTGCCGGTACTGCATACCGCGTTCGTCCAAACTGGTGAAGAACTCCACTACTTCAGCGAGTCGGGAAGATTCGAAGCGGAAATGGTGGTGGGTCACAGGGTTCACACAGACACTGCTAGTGGAGGCACTAGAGCTAGGTTGGTCACTTCGTGCTATCCTTTCTTTCTTGTATCTACTCAAATTCGGTATTTGTTCAGAGAGAAAAAATACAACGTCAAAAAGATGCATGGAGATGAATCGATGCCAATCGCATTCGACCCACCATTTGTCGAATTCGGCGATAGGTAGCTTATATGGCAAACTTCGTACGGACTATTTTACTGTCAAGCATAAAGCTTTTGCAGTGCCGTTGGCCACTCCGTAAAACGGCGTGTGTTCATACGAAGTCTGCTCCAGAAACCTATTATTTTGGATTCTATTGCTGGTGCTACAGTCAATTTCCACATCTCATTTTTCAACACCGTTGTAAGTTTTGATGTTTTTGGCCAGTTTGTGGGTGTCTTGAAATACCGTCCTCTCTTGATTGCGGTAAGGCTGTGTAATTGTTTAGGAAATTTCTCCTCTCGGGACTGCATATTTTGAAATCGTATTTCTCCCCCGGGAGGAAGGCAGATCAAGCGTTACCATCAATATTCGTACTTCTGTGGGAATTTTCATTTACGAAGTGAGTATTTTATCTTTCGGTTATTATAGATATGATCTTATAATCAAATTCCATTGTGCTAACCATATCATTGGTTTATTTCATTTCCAGCTTTCCGGCCGCTCTTCCTCGAACCCTTATCGTATTGCACCATTCGTTGGTACTCGTTTGCCGTTCAACGGCACTCTTTCTAAAGATATAGTTCTGCACAATCCATTCCCTAATACTTTTAGGGTTACAGAGGTAATAAAGCTTTCATTTGCACGTAACCCTGTCTTTCTACCTGCAAGTGATTCAGGTAGTGTCGTCTGGTGGTAATGTGCATGTTGAAATGGCCTATGATATTGATGGAAAAGCAGCCGCGGAACCTCCACAGTATTGGGTTTGTATTTGTTTAGTAACTTGCTTATTTTAAGGTTTTATAAAAGAAATCGTAAAAACATATTTTTGATATTAAATAGAAGTAATACTTTAGGATATTCGCCCATTTCAAACTAAAACTATCTGTCGTGCNTCGTCTGGTGGTAATGTGCATGTTGAAATGGCCTATGATATTGATGGAAAAGCAGCCGCGGAACCTCCACAGTATTGGGTTTGTGTTTGATAGTAACTTGTTTTATTTTAATGTTTTGAGAAAAAACGTAAGAACTACAATATAAGCATTCTTGGTATTAGATAGAAGTACTACTTTAGGATATTCGCCCATTTCAAACCAAAACTATCTGTCGTGCCATTATCATTGGGCACACTTTGGAGAATACAACCATATTTGTTCGAGTTACGGGGCTACTCCTTGATGATGATGGGTGAGCGAGTTTTCTCACAGAAGGAACAAATTTGCTGGTTTGGAACCGATTTTGTTTGTTCTGAATTTCAGCGGTGACGGGGTACAGCACTCAATTGTGCTTCCTATACCTATAGAAATAAATAAGCGGCGAGGAGTCTTTACAACTAAAGACATATTGGATTTTGGTTTGTTAAGGTGAGATTCTCATAATTTCTATCTTGAAAGACAGAGAAGGATAGTCTCCGACTTAGTTCACCAGTAAGACAGTTCTAAACACATCTTTTATATTTGTTGATGCATTTTTGAAGATTTTGTTCTTCTTTCAGGCAAGGTGAGAGGTCACAGCCTCAAATGTTTTCCGTTTATCAGTACATGCTAAGTGGGAAACTGGAGTTTGAGGTAGTTATGGTTTTATTTTCTCAGTTCCTTACTATTCACTTGCACTATGAAATTATTCTTTTTGTAGACATTATATGTCGATAGGGGAGATCCCACAGGCATTTATATGGAGTTTGCCTCTACTCCACCAATTGCTGTATTACCAGGAAGGAATTCTTTGCCAGGTTTGCGCGCTAATTTCTGGTCATGAATTATGATCCTTTAGAGCATTGCGAATTCGAATAGTTCAGGTAAACCGTCAGATCTTGTGAAGGTGTTCTTCGATGCGTCTCGCATAACATTCGAATCTCACTTACCTAGTGCTCGAACTTTTCATGGGCGTATAATTGCNCAGCTATGGAAATACTCAGGACGAATTCAAGTTCGTTGATGGCTTTCTCCTTCTCTTCCCTTTTCTTTTTCTTTTCTAAACGTAGTCAGTTATGTTCTCGACTTACCCGACCTGTTTTAGGTTGAATTATTTTCTGTCGATCAAG